CACTGCACTCCAGTCTGAGCGACAGAGTGAGACTCCAACTCAAAAAAAAAAAAAAGAAAGCCACATGTAAACTGTAAACTGGTCCTGTGGAATGAGTGGGTGTCAGCCAAGTAGTGTGGGGAGGGGGTTGGTGTTCCTGGAAAAGTGAACAGAGGCTGCCTGTGTGACCCCATGTGGTCTTTCTGGGAAGCACAGCCTAGCCAAGAACAGGAAGAGGCTGGAAAGGCAGGCAGGGACCTGTCCTGTGGCGTGGGGGCTGTGGCAGGGTCTTGAGCCCAGCGTACAGCCATGAGATGCAGAGTGCACTCCGTAGTCATTTCCTTGAGTGGCCTAAAATAATGGACGTTTATTCTCTCATGATCTGGAGGCCAGAGTCTAAAATCAAGGTATTAGCTGACACGAGCTGAAAGTGAGAGTGGCATGCTCACTCTGCAGCTCTAGGGGACCCTTCCCTGACTCCTGTAGCTCCTTGGTGTTTGCTGGTAGTCCTCAGCACTTCTTGACTTATTGGTAGGACTTCAGTCACATGGCCATCTTGTCCCTGTTGTGTCTTCACATGTGTTCCCTCTGTGTGTGTCTTTCTCTGTGTCCAAATTTTCCCCTTTCATAAGGACTCCGGCCATCCTGGATTAGGGTTCACCTGCATGATTTCATTTAACCCAACTATCTCTGCAAAACCCGTTTCCAATTGAGGTCGCATTTGGAGGCACCTGGGGTTAGGACTTCAAAGCACTTCTGTGGAACACTGTTTAGTCTGTTACACCTTCTCCCGGGGGTCTGGTTACGCCAGGTCTGGCAGCCTCCCCTTTGACTAGTCCTGTCTGTTCTCCTGCAGAACCGGGCTGTGGGTCGGCCCAAGGGGAAGCTGGGCCCGGCCTCCGCGGTGAAGTTGGCTGCCAACCGGACAACGGCAGGAGCTCGGCGGCGCCGGACGCGATGCCGCAAGTGCGAGGCCTGCCTGCGGACCGAGTGTGGAGAGTGCCACTTCTGCAAGGACATGAAGAAGTTCGGGGGCCCTGGGCGGATGAAGCAGAGCTGCATCATGCGGCAGTGCATCGCGGTAAGTGGGGACTGGAACTGGAACTCTCCCCGCTCCAGGACGCTGGGCTGCCTTGGAGTCCAGACCCGACTTCCCTCCTTGTGCACCAGGCCTGTTTGGTCTGTCTGCTTGTTGATCTGTCCAGCCCCTCTGCAGAGAAAGAAGTTGGGGCTGCGGAAACCCCTGGGAGTTGCTCCCTGTGGACAGGAAGGGGGCTGTGAATCCAAAGCCCCCAGTGCCAGTCCTGGTGCAGTCCTGCCATATGCTCAGGCTCTTCGTAATCTGATGGTCTTATAACTCCTTCCTTTCCAAGGAGGCCAAGTACTTTGAAGTCTGTGCCATTAAAGATGTCAGGACAGCCTGTCCTGTCTGTGACCCTGTTGCCAACATTTATGATCCAGTCCATGACAGTTCTAGGCCCTTCCTTCCTTCCTGTCCTGCCTTTAGAGTCAGAGGTCTTGGTGTAAGGTCAGTGCTCCTCTGACGGGACTGCCCCAGACAAAGAGGAATGAATTATGGTGCTGAGAAGTTGGACCCCTGGAGAGCCTAGCCAGCCCCCCCAGACTGCCTTGCCTTGTCTTCAGTTGCAGCCCAGGGCTGCTGGCCTTGCCCCAGGACAGGGCAGTGAATGTGGACTTTGGTAACTGGGCATGGTCCTGGGGTTTGCCCTTGAATCCTTTCTTACACACCAACATGCTATGCCTTCCCTAAGGCACTCCTTCCCGGGGGTCCAGCGGTCCTCTTTGTGGTAGTAGTCATCTTGTCCCCATGAAAAAGCAGGCTTGGCTGGAGGGGCAGGATTCCTTGGCCCTGGTGAGCTCATCTGTAGCCTCACCCTGGCATAAGGTGAGCCCTTCCTCCCTGGCTGCTGGTGCCCTTCTATGCCCAAAGACACTTCACGCTTCTCCCTCCAAACACTTTACGCTTCTTTTTTTTTTTTTTTTTTTTTTTGTTGGGGT